ACCTGCAGGAATTGGGTTTTTACCCGAACCCTCGGTTTGTTGCCAGCGTCGCTGATGAAGGGCACGAGAGCATTCAGGGATCAGAGGAAATCGCAGCACCGTGTGAAGGGAACGACATTCCCGAGCCCGAGAAAGATCATTGGAGAGTATCAGGAAACCAGGTCATCAGGGTGCATAAGGTTCCGCGCCGAGGATTGTATCAACCGAGTTCATCCGACTTCCCGGGTGACATTAACCGTCTTGACTACTCGCGGACGACAAGGCGACAATTCGTGTCGGGTGAGTGTGATGATGTGCGCGATGAATGGGGACTTGTTTCTCAGGCAGACACGGTGTCAAAAGAATTGTGGACAGGAGCCACCATGTTCAAGTTGAAAAGCGCAGGATCGCCAGACCTGTCATCATTGCCCAAAGCAGAGGTAACATCCGAAGAGGACAGAGCATTCATGGCCGAGAGATTCCGGCAACACCCAGAAGCAGAACAATCAGGAAAGCGCCCGAAGAAACTGGCGTACCATCGCCTGGACGAGGAAACCAAGTCCGGTGTCAACGAGGCCCGGAAGGATGAGTGGCAAAAGTATCTGAAATACAATGCTGCCGTTCCCATTAGTGGGAAGATCCTTGAAGACTTGTTGAAGGAAGGGCACAAGCCGGTGCCGTCCCAGTGGATTGATGTCAACAAGCATGAGCATCTAAAGGGCAAGGAAGGTTACACTCCAAAATTCCGAAGTCGCTTAGTGAGCTGCGGGAATTATAAGGGTGTAGGGAGAGATGAAGTGAGATGTGATGCACCAACGGCGGAAGCAGAGACACACTGCATCATCGCCAGTTACGCTGCGCGCAGAAAGCTTCGTCTGTTCTCCGGGGACATCTCCTCGGCCTACTTCCAGAGCGAACCGCTGGAGAGGATTTTGCTAATGAAGCAGCCAGCTGGAGGCCTACCGGGAGTGGACCCGGCAGCAATGTTGCTGTGCAGATTGCCCATCTACGGCACATTGGACGCAGGTAGAGGGTTCTTCGTGAGATTGCGAAATGCAAATGTCGAAGAAGGACTGAAATTGTCACGATTGGCAACGGGGTTGTACTACTTGCCAGGATCGGATGGTCTACCTGCGGTACTGCTTGCAACACACGTAGATGATCTACTGTGGTGCGCAACCGAAGAGGGACAATCGATAATGGATCGGATCTTAGCCAAGTTCGATGTTGGAAAGATTGAACACACAGATTTCAGATTCTGCGGTAGACGCTTCAGACAATCAGAGAACTTCGATGTGACCATTGACGCGGAGGACAACACAAGGCAAGTGAGGCACATCAACATAGATCCGAACCGAAAGGCCACAGATGATGCCACGCCGCAAGAGATCACAAGCTTGAGATCAGTGGTAGGATCGTTAGCATGGATTGCGAGGTATGCGAGACCCGACTTGTGCTACAGGGTAAACTGCCTCCAGAGGCGATGTTCAAAGGCAAAGATATCCGACCTGCGGGATGCAAATCGGGTAGTAGATCTGGCCCATGCGGACCAAGCTGTGCCACTGCATTTTGCAGCGGGCGCATTCTCATGGCACGATGTGTGTGTGATGAGCTTCTCAGACGCGTCATTCGCGAATGAGGATGGCTTACGATCGCAGCAAGGGCGCCTACACTGCCTCAGGCGAAAGCACGGCAGATGGAAACGAGCATCTCGTCCACATCATAGGCTATTCGTCCACCACGATTAAACGGGTTTGCAGAAGTACGCTACAGGCAGAAACATATGGGATGGCGTCAGCAGTCGAGAGTGGCGAGAAAATCAGGGCTATCATTTGCGAACTCCGAAATCAGATCCCAAGCCCTCGAGCTTGGTTGGAGTCTTCCCAGCAAGCGATGCGTCATCTTTGGATAACCGACTGCCGCTCCCTGAGCGACCACTTGAATGCGGTTCAAGAGGGCAAGGTATCCGATAAACGATTGGGAATCGAGTTGATGTCAATGCGCCAACAACTGTGGCATGAAGATGTACAGACGTGGAAGCTTTATGCTATGCACGGCGACCGGCTACGGTGGACCGACACCTCGACCCAAATCGCAGACGCACTAACGAAGAGTATGAAACCCTATCAGATCTTCACGTTGATGAAGACAGGGCGAATCGTTCTTTCCGACCCAAACCACAAGATCAAGAAGAACACCCGAGAATTCATTGAAGAGACCTGCTGAGTGAGCAACGGAATGGAACGTTAGTAGCGGTC